GATGTCATGTTTAATCTGTCTCAGGTCTGCAGAAACATTTATCTCAATAAGCAGTTAGWAACTGACCAGTCTGATGACAGAACATGAGTTGCTGAGTGAAGCTGCAGGGAGGAGCYTGAGGAGACAACACACCACGTTGTTGCACACACGACTGATTTTACACTCGTTTGATGCATGTTGGATTTAACCTCACTCTCCCCAGTCAGATCAGCACACACTCCAACAGTTTGTGCAAACTGGACCACAGTTCAGAATATTTCCAACATCTAAATGATCCTGTGCTCATGCATGAGGACTACGGAGGTGGTAAAGAGAAACCAGACAGATGTTTGCTGTGAGTGAGGAACAGCTCCTCAGCACCAACCAAAGGCTCCTTCAGTCCATTTGYCAGAATGAAACAAACATCTAACAGAGACCATATTGAATTGTGCAAAGTAAAGGTCAGAGTGTGGTGGGCTCAGGGAGGAGAAACACCTCCTTCACCCTGCTCTCCTGCTTGTTATGCATCAATTTTCATTCTGCAAACATTCCTGTGTGACAGCTGACCTTCTCTCWGAAGCCTGAAACATGGCCGTCAGAGCAGTTGACGGAAAGCACGTTCACTTTATGAACTATAATATGTTCAGTTAATTCCCAGGTAAATGTCAGGTGAAACGCTGGTCCGAGGTTTTTCTCTGCTTTTTGAACACCTTGGTGTTTGAACCCATGTTTCCACCTGACCCGCCCCTCCCCCCCAGCCCTGCTCGTCTCACACCGATTGTTAGACTAATTTCTTATTCGTGAAATGTCATTTACAAAACTACATTAAGATTTGCTCTGCTGGTCTGATTTAAATGTCAAACGGGCACAAACTGAAAGTGCAGTCAGTCGTTTGAAGGGTCTTTAAGGTGGACCACCAGGAGGACAAAGCTCCAACACTTTCATCCAAACTGTCAGAAAAGCAATAAAATAAGATAGAAAGTTAAACAATTACAGGAAGTATCTGTGTTTGAAAGATGAGCCACTCTGATACAGTAACTACAGATACTATCACTGATACTCATGTTTCTTCAATAATACTGTCATTTTGTCTTTAGTCAGTTATGAGAAAACACAGGACTAAGATATTAAATTTAAAACAATATAACAGTCAAAAAATAATATAATAATTCCCCAATTACCTTCTACACAATAGTTTATTATAAGTGACTCATGCAAACAAAACTACAACAATGTCAATAAGAACAAAAATATAGCTTCTATTACAAACAGGCATGATGTCACAGTTTGGAGATTCTGCACAAATTTATTTTACTTTATTTGTGAAAATAAAGTCAGATGTAAAAACAAAGTGTATAAAAGAAACTGATCTCCTCCTGCTAGCATCAATCTACCAAAACTCATGTCGTGACTGATATTATTGACAGATGGACACGCCCACCTGTTCCTCACCTGTCTGACTCCAGAGTGGAGGAGAGTCCATCTCCAACAGGCTGAGTCCAGATCTGCAGTTTGGATTAAAAACAAGCTGACAAATAAATGTTGATGTTTCCCAGCGGAGCTAGGTCCTGAGTTCAAACCCAGCTTTGGACCTGGAGCCTTTCTGTGTGGAGTTTACCTGTTCTTCTCACGTTTGTGTGGGTTTCCTCCCACAGACCAAAACCACCGAGTCAGCTTGTCTTCAGACCCGCACCTGCCTGGAACAGGTCTGTGACCTCAGTGACAGTTAGCAGCTTCAATAAAGCTTAAATAAAAGGTTAAATAAAGCTTAAATAAAGCTGAAATACAACTTAAATAAAGCTTAAATAAAATGTTAAATAAAGCTTAA